TCTTATCAAGGTTGCAGTTCTCAAAACAGGGAGAGTTATTGCTCTGGATCACAGCAGGTATGCATCAGATATCAACTTTCACTTCGTTGAGTTAGCTTCCAAGATCTATCTAGTTTTTGTGGATGTCCTTGCGTGGTTTCATTGTTGGACCCTGATTTAGGTGGTAGTTTTCGCCGGACATGTAGTTTTGCAGATGTCGCGTCTGATGTGCGGGGGTTGCAGCTCGAGTCCGGACTTTTTCACTAGTGCGTTACGAGTGCATTGGATTTGGAAGCTTCCTCGCTTGTGGCACTCTGGACTTTCGGCGCCTTTTCCAATCGCTGTCCTTACAGTCCCATGCAGTTAAGCCTGCGTTACCCTGAAACAGTTGTTTCCTCTTGGGAATGGTGTTTACAGATGCATCATTTTAATAGGTTGGCTTTACATATCGAGCACTTCAACTAGGCCACTGGGAATGTGCACTAGTGGCAGTTGTTCCGCTGACCTCGATTTTCTTGCGTGGTTTTGCAGGAGGCGCCTTTTGCCTTTGGCAGTGGTTCTTCATGAGTGGAGAAAGCGGACTATACCAATTTCGTCAGCGTCAGGCAGGGTGTGCATATCCAGGGTTCCCATTCATCCTCATTGCTCCTCAAGGATCTGCCATTATCTGCAATCCATTTGATGCCTTGACAGGTTTTTCCTCAGGTATTGGTTCCCTGTTGCAGTTTTATCGAGGCAGTTGTACTTAGCCGCTACAGATGCTAGTCGCGCGCCTAAACCTCTAGCCCATTCTTATTTTTATCAAGAGATTCTTTGTCTCTCAAACACCCAAAATCAGAATCTATCTTTTTAATCCAGTGACTTTATTTCCAATCTCGTTGGTAAACCAGTTTGAGGTTCTGGCGACCTTTTCCATCCACACGCCACAACGGGGTCGGCCCTTTGTATGGCCTCTATTTCTGGTGGGAGTAAGGGAAGAACGAAGCGAGGAAAACTGTTTTTCAGGAGTACCTGAACAGAAAAAAAGAGAGAAAAAAGTTGGATCTGCACAGCTAATATCATCTTCATGCTACTAAACATGCAATTAATCATTGAAATTTGAGTGAGGATTTTGGCTGAAGCTGCGCTGATTTTTTGATCGTGTTGAAGGTAACAAAGTCCCTCTGACGTAACAAAAAGAAGATTACATATTGAAGGAGTCTTCACTACAACAATGAAAAGAGAGACAGAATGAATCGGAAGGAATCAACATAGTTGATTGATAGAGATTTTTTAGTGTTGTTTTGTGGATGTTTAATAATTTTCGTCCCTTAAAACTGCGCAAATATTTTCCATGTTAGTAGTTTGTTGTTTGGTCAGATTTGTTATAATAAATATGCTGAAGAAAAAAGAGTGGCTTTTTTATGTAAAGGTTAGCCCCAAGACATGAAGAGGAAGAGGTACTGTTGATAATGTTAAAGTGACGTACGTATTCCACAAAATCCACCCGGGTTGACTGTGATAGATAGCTATCGCTGGTTCAGAGACGTTCCAGTTTTATGGAAAGTTTAGCGATGATTCAGCGTTATTTGATAGTTATACTTCTCAGCGGTAATCATGCATAACTTAGCCATGTTAAAACCCTGAATTAGCGCAAAGAAAATATTGTTTCTTCAAATTTTTGAAAATTTAACTTTTGTTGCTTGTCTTGTTTTTGATAAAACTAGACAGTTACGCTATAAATTATCCTGAGACGTTGAAAATTACGCCATTTACATACTTGAATTGCAAGCGTAGAATTAAGATCTGCAGACGTAGAGCTTTCCAATGATATCCCTTTGGCATCTCTGGGACGGAATTTGGCTCAAAATTTTTGAATTTTTCCTGCTCATGGATAAGTGTTCACTTATCAGGTACAAAATCAGTGATGTTAGGTTTCTGAAAAATTGCTGATTCATCAATATTTATCTATTTTGCTGTTCCATAATTTTCTAAGTTATTCAAATCGCATATAAAGGATTCCACATATTTCATATAAAAACGTATTGTATTTTGCATTCTATGATTAGCATTCATCCTCAAACAAAAATAAAGTTTTTCTATAAAAAAAATTAACAAAAGTCAAACACAGAATTTTTTCTACTGTTCGAGAAAAAAATAAGTGTCATCATAAAATAAAGATCTTTAAATATGAATTGTATGGGTGGCATATCACAAAAAACGTCATGTAGTGTATTGAGATACGAGAATGTTTAGTGTATGGACGAGCATGTTTGGTGTCATTAGCATTTTGTATCGCGTATTTCTTACGTTTTGGAATTTTTCTTTAATCAGCACAGAAAATGCTTACAATCGTCTTTTTTTTCTGCCGGTTTTTCGCTTTGCTAATTTGTTTGGTTAAGTTGTTATGAAATTTGGTACGCGGTTCAGTTGAAACTTGGCAAAAATGGTAATTACACGTTTAGAAAACGGTGCGTATACAAAATAGTCACATACAAAACAGTCCAATACGAAATAGTTCAAAAAACCATGTAATATAGGAAAAAACTGTCCGATACAAAACAGTCCGGTTTATAGTCGCCTGTGGGCGCCCTGTGCGCGTGTCGTCGCTTCGCGGCGATAACCGGCTCTAAATTTCGTATCAAAAACAATTATTACTTGGGACTGTTTGTCTGACTAATTTGTATTGGACTGTTTTTTCCTTCATTTTCATACTTTTCCAAACTGCCTTGTATTGGACTGTTTTGTATGGGACTGTTTTGTACAGACACGTAAGAAAACACATTTTTTCTCAAAATATGCTGTCTCGGAAAACTAAAGGGAAAACGGTAGAAAAACCCACTTGTTCACTTTGTCCATTGACAAAGAGAACGTTAAAATAGTTCCCTTTGTCAAGTTTCACTCGCAAATTTTATAACAATTTTGTTTGTCAGCTGCTCTTGCTGCCTGTTCATTTTCTGTACACATACTGCTCAAATTATATTAAACACAAAAATAACACGTTATTTACCGCATTGCAGAAAAAAGTTATTACTAATTGTTCCGACTTTCTAAGAGAGTGACGCAAAAATTATGATGATTTGAAAATTGCCAATTTGGCCAATATTTTGCGCGGTATATTTCGTGCTATTTAAGCGTAAGCTGCAATTTAAATCATTCCAATTGAGTTGAGACAAGCAAATTACTCTTATTTATGCGCTATGAGACTTGAAAAAATTTTCATTTTCCATTTAACATAGAGGGAAGGGTAATGAAATGAGGAAAAATGAAAAAGAACAACTGAAATGTTTGATTTTTTCCGATTGTTTTTTAAAAATTTTGAATAAAAAACCCTTTTCATTGACTTTAAATGGCAGTCAAAACATGTCGAGTTTCACACTGATTCTTGCTGGTTTCAGTATTTAAGACCGTAAATTATTGACAGAAAGCGATAGTAGCAACCTGCGAGGGCATTGACTGGAGACTCAGAGGTCCAATTTTGAAGTGGTTGGAATCCTATAGTACGCCAGCTTTAAAATTCATTTTCCGGCATCAGACTTCTTGCGGGCACTGCAACTTTTTAATGCACTCGGGCAATACCATTTTTCCACCGTTGCACCGAATATTTAACATTTTTGAACAGCGTTTTTAACATTTTAATTTTTTTGTTTTGATTCCATTCAACCACTTAGCCATCTTCTAAAGTCTTCAATTGAGTTGCGGCAATGCATTAACTTCAATAATATCTCGCCGTGCTCTACTGTATTTCTGATAAGCTATTTGGTTTCCATTTATGATATCTTTTTTTTGAAAAGTTTGACAAACAATAAATCAATTGATTTTTTACGAATTTTGATCAGAGTTGTTTTTATCAATGAGATTTTTCACTACGTTTAGATTAAGGTTTTTTGTTTCCGGTTGTTTAGGCGAGACTGTTGTAGCGTCTCTTTTTTTACGGTTATATTTTTTTTTGCTTTACCGTATATTTTAGGGGTTTCATTTTCAGAAGTTTACCGTCTTGGTGGTTTTTACTCAATTTGGGGACTGCCTTTTGTCAGACTTTTTCAAACGCTCCATTTTGATAGGAAAATTTCAAAGGTTTTTCAATTATTCTAATAAACATAAGAAAAAATACTTTTTTTTTCAAAATCATAATTGATGTATGTAGCTTTTAAATTATACTTTTTAAACCTAAATTTTGTTTAGAACCAAGCTGCTGTTGGCTTTTTTCTGATTTTGAAAATTTATTTTTTTGCTGGATTAATGAGTTTTTATGGGCTTGATTTTTTTTCTCGAAAATTGAAATTGGTTCAAATTAGTGGTAACTGTCCATTTCACTAAAATATTGCTAATCTTACTGCAATATTTCTACCGTGACAAAAAAAAACAAATCTTGAAAGAAACAACTAGCAAAATTTAAAGTAAGCAGCAACTCGCAAAGGATGAAAGTTTTGGTTCGAAAACGCCGGTTTGCGAGCTACGCTCTCGTCGCCGCTTTGCGGCGATAATCAATTCTAAATTTCGTATTAAGTCCTACACTTCGTTGGCAAGCTCGAAACACGTTGGTGCGACTACGGCGCTGATTATATTGCGACTTGTGATTTTTGTTGCGATTTGGCGCATTACGTGCAATATCAGACTGATGATTTTTTCTTATTGCTTATTGTTTTTTTTTCTTTTTCTGCCGGAAAAAATGTAGCTATTTGCACACGGCCCATTTTTTCGTGGGTTTTGTGTGTTCATGATTTTGTCTGATCAGCCATTTCAACCGTAAGTTATATCTATCATAAGTTTTTTTTTCAATTTTATTTATTCCAGATTCGCAATTAGTGCAAATTTCCGCTTTTCTAAGTGGAAAATCTGTCAATGAAACTGGAGAATAGATTAAAAATAAAAGCTTGCTTCTCAGTGATTTTGAGTTTAATAACAGCTTTTAACTGTCTACTGCCAATTTTTCTATGTGTTTTATGAGGTAAAAAAACTAGCGCAGCTTCAATTCATACCTTACACTGCACCTAGTAAAATATTTTATAAAGTTTTTAAATTAATTTTATTCAAAACAGCGATGCTTATAATCAAAATCAGCACAACAATTCATGCAAAACGAGCCTCATCCATCATATCAATTTTAATCAAAATTAACGAAAGCAAACTGGATATGGATTTTATTACAAGGCTAGCACAAATGATTTTTTTAATGCCCGAGTTCTTACGACAAAATCTGTTTGCGCTGAGCTGATATGGCGTTGCGGCAGTTTCTTTTTGGCGGAAGCTGACATCTTCACTACACCAAAGATTCTCGTGGATCTGAAACGATTAAAAAAATGATCATTTTGCTTAATGCTTGAACTATTGCAGAGATGATGGAAAGTTTTTGCAATGGACTTCTAGATCTAACTGGTAACTGAACTTTCTTGGCTTCCTGTACAAAAACAGATACCCATTTTTAAGGAACCAAAGAGTAGTTTTGTAATTGAAAAAACCATTTCAGGCTATTTATGAGATGGAGTTATCCTCTTTGAGCACTAAAATTGTTGCACGATTCGTAGCAGATGATGATTTTAGCGCAGCTGATGAAAAATTTTCTCCTTACTAATGCGCTGCATTTGAAATTAATATTCTTCACTCAACTTTTGATAGCCGAATACGATTGCTGATGCGACTATTCACCTGCTACGAATACATATGAGTACAGTTAAATTGCAAAAGATGTAGCGGGCTACGAATCGTTTTTGCTGCGAATTATTAACCAACAACGTAAAACACTCATTTAATCCTATTTGCATATTTGCAAAGACTTATTTTAGAGTTGGCATGGTAATAAATTGTGGTTGGTTAATAATTCGTAGCAAAAAACGATTCTTAGCCGACTACCATTTGCAATTGATGTGATTAGTCGCATCAGCAATCGTGTTCCGGCTATCGTATGTGAATGATTGGATCTCTTGCCTTCCATGTATCCTTCTGTTTGGATAGGCTGATCATGTGACGTAGTTTCAGAAGTATCTTGGCTTGCTTCTGGTTTTTCTTTTTGATCGTTGCCTGCTTGGTCTCTTTTATTAGACAGTTCCACGTGACAACCCTTTGTTCCCGTGCACACGTCGCCAAAAGCACCTTAAGTCAAGACAAATTATCCACAAGGAGCTGTGTCAAAATACGAGCTGTTCAGCTCTTTACAGAGAACCGCTTCTGTGTCCCAAGTTACGAACTATACGTGCAGAATTTGATTATTATTCTGGGATGGCTAAAACTGCCCAATTGTAAGAAACGAGCAGGCATCAAGTTGGGCTTCGAACTAACGACCCAGTGAATGGGAGGCGAAGACATAACCTCTTCACCACCGTTTCTCATGTTTATCGCTCACCTGTCGAGAGTAGAGATACTGCCTCTTCACTTGTACTGTTGTCTACCCCATCAGGTGTGGCAAACCGTTGTTGAGAACTGATGCCATCTGTAACATCAGGTGGCTCTGTCTGGTGTGCAAGTGTATCTTCTCTTTGACTCAATTCTGGATTGGAGTAATGATGGCCTAGAATTTATAAAATCATTGAGGTCGCCACTGCGTACTCATAGGACGACACAAATCTAGTCTGTAAGATCGAGTTATATATGAATTTAGAACATTTTTCAATCTTGCTTCAAGTTTTTATGAGATGTTTCGGAAACGCTGTAGTGCTGAAAAACGTGCAAAAGCGGATAAATTAAGTCACTTATCATTTATGTAATGACAAACTAGCCCGTACCAAGTAAATGTTCTAATTCAGATCTGAAATAATCTTTTCCAGACCTAAATTTCAGATTTGAAATGGGTTGTGAATTTTTAAAATAACGCTTGGATTCTTTAGGAATGATTCATTTCAGATCTAATGTTAGATCTGAAATTGAATTCTTCTTGGTTATTTCAGATCTGAAAAATCAACGTTTCTAACACAAATTGTGATAGTTTTAATACTTTTGTATTTGATAGCTTCTGCTGTTTACCAGCAGGTACTCAGCAAAGTCTCCAAAGGGATGCTGCCAAAATATGTTTCCTCAAGCATGAGATAAGCATTGGAAACTCATAAGTAGCGCATGAAAATTAAAAAATCGATAGGTCTTCTAACAGTTTTTGAAAACTTTCTATCACGCTTGAACAAAAATATAGATCGAAAAAAACTGTTTGCGAAACTATTTGGAAGTTTTTTAACCGCTGATTAATCTAAACATAATTGTGTATTAGAGAGACATCAAAAAATAAAAATTCAATTGTTTGCTCTAAATGCATAAGTTAAATTATAATTTAAAAAAAGATTTCTCAGGTCTAATTTCAGATCTGCAATTTTGTTTTTCAAGGTTATTTCAGACCTGAAGTTTTCTCTTTCAAATTCAAATTTTTAAACTCTTATCAAGATATGAAATAAACAATTTCAGATCTAAGAATCAATTATTGTAAGAAAAAAAAGAATTTCAGATTGTGCACAGGAAATTCCATAGGTACGGAAGTGCATCGAAACTAAAAAAACTAAGAAGTTACTAAAAAAATAACAAGCTTCATTGTGTGAGTGTTTGTGTGTTTATAATTGTTTGTGTGATCGGTTTTGTGTGTGTGTGAGTGTGTTTGCGTGTGTGTGCCACTCACAAACTTGCAATCGTGCACACATGCACACATTTTGTTGAGATTAAATGGGTTTATAATTATAACTGTGGTCAAACAGCCAGTCTGAAAATTTAAAAAAATGTTTCACATGCGCTAGGGTTTTTTGTTAGAGCATAGGGATTTGGAAATTGCCAATTTGCAATCTTTTGTTGAGCAAATTTTCCCCTATTTGTTATTGCAAAGCGCCAATGACAATATATTCAGGCAAAGAAATCATACCAAAACAAGTTTTGAGAATCCGTGTGCGGCAGAAATTTGAAAATAAACTGGAAGAAATGCATTTTTTATTGAAATATTTAAAGAAAAATTTTCTTAGAAATGTTGAACTGCTGAGGCTTCATCCTAGTACAAGCAGTCTTTTTTTTTAAAACCTGGGAATGCTCTTCGTTTCGGCGTTAGTTTTAGGTGTCTTATGAATTTTTTCCAATTATTGATGAAGTTGTTCGAAAACAACATAAAATATAAACTGAATTTTATTTGATTTTTCTCCGTTCCCGAAGTAACTTTCACAGTGATAAATTTTGCACCCAGCTTAACATTATTTGAACAATTAATATGCCTAAATTTTGTTTGTAATAGCTTTGAGCCTACGTGTTACTAGGAACCAATATATAGCGCATTAGTAATGCCAATTCGGCCACATTAACATTTTTCAAATTATCCTTTTTGGTTAAGTGATCAAAGGTGGAATATCTGTCACATAGAACCTCAGAGTATCAATATCAATATTTTTCTGACGATTGAAAATGGGGAGGAAATTGTTATTCGGGTGTGTTTTAATTTTTTCTTTTTGTTTTCCACGCTAAATCAGGTACCACAAAAAATCATCGGACTGGGTTGATACATCATATTAAAGCCCTTTCAGTTGTGATTCGAACCATGTTAAAAAATTCCCAAACTTTTTTTCGAGTGTCGAGAAAAACCTGTTTGAAATTTTAGATCTTTTCGTCTTAATTCGAGCAAATAAAGCACGCGAGCAGGCTTACAACAGCTGAATTATGCCTAAATTGAGACCTTAAAACATATTTTTAAGCAATTAAAACTAGTTTAAGAGATTTTTAAGCTCAATTTGGCAACCAAAAACATTTAAAAAAAATTAAAAATTTTCTAAAAAAAAATTTGAAAAAAGAAAAGTCTTGTAAATTTCTTTTTTGTTTTTCTAGTCATTTTTCTACAACATTTTTTGTTAAATTTGCCTATATCACGATGACTGTCTAATATGATTAAATTAAGTTTTTGAATCAGATTTTTTTTATCACATACATCAAGCAGAAAAACACTAATTTGGAAAAAAAGCGTTTTAAACCGCAGTTTTTCAAAGACTATGGTTGAATATTCTGTGCTATTTGCACAGTAACCGGCTATCCTTGTTTAGGAATTTAAAATTGGTTCCACAACAAAAACTAAAATTCCCAACCTTATATACCGCAATAGGTTCATCAAAAATTGTGGAAAAATAAAATTAATAAGCAAACAGAAAAAAAAATATGAAAAAGAGTAACTAGGTGCTCATAATTTTGTAAGCATTTTCTTGCAGAGCAAAATTTGCTGCGAGAAACAAAAGGAAGTTTTATGCTCCGACTTTTGAAGAATATTTAGCTTTCGATGGATTTTGCCTAAAAATTGTAGTAAGATTACAAAATGTGAGTAGAATGTTTCAAATGATAGGCGACATGGCAGAAAATCTTTTAAATAGAACCTGGAAGTGACGAATAGTCGGTTTGTTCGGTTGGCGTCTGGTTTTGCCTTCCGCCAACGCGATCGTAAACAAAGTACGTTGACTCGGGCTGGCGCTGTGTATAGTTTTCATCTGGTGGACGCAGGAACACACTCATCGGAAGGTTCTGGCGCTGCTCGTCGAGTGGAGAAGAAGCATGGTTGTTCACGAAATGGGGATGGTAGCTCGGATTGTTTACTGAGTTGGAAGTGTGCATTGATCGGGGAAGGGATGTGCCCACAGTCAGTCGTCCTGTATTTATAGGATGCTCAGTTTCCTTTGGTTTGTTGCATCGCCTACAGAAATCGCAGCTGTCATTTTTGTTTTCTTGATCACTGTATCCGACGAAAAATTACAATTTCCAAATTGCGGATTTGAGTGGGATGGCTTAACGTGGATTGCATGTTGATTAACTCAAAATTTGAGGGCGGTCTAAACTTTAAAAAACTTCAGGTTTTTGACGTCATCGGCCTATTTTTAGTTACTTAAAATGCTTTACGGTGCTGATACTGTTGAAAAAACTGTTGAAAATTGTTTTTTTTTAAGTTTCGCAGCCTCCTTGCAAAAATCTTAAATCCGGCGTGGCTAAACACAAAAAAAAACGTTTTTAGTATTACATGACAAGATATTCTAGACAAGATATTGCGTTCATGAATGCGTTAGGAGTTATGTAATTAAATGTTCGAAAGAAAGTGTGGTTGGATGTTTTCAGCGGAATTACCAGCAGTAGATGACTGTGGCGAACAGGGCACCGATGATGAACAAGAGGGTCCCGATCACCACATAAATCACCCAGAAGGATCTTAGATGACTTCTCAGATTGTCTGACTCCTGCTCGCCTCCTTCTGGCTCATCTGGTTTGTCAGTCTAAAGTAAGTTGCAATTTTTTGTTCCCAAAATATAACCGAAGTTGATACTTGACCTGAGCCTTAAATAAAAGGTAATCTGCTGTGATACTGACCTCCTTCAATTCAATAAAAAGTAGGAGGCTACAGTCTTCTGAAGCTTGAAAACTTGATTTTATACATATTTATAAAATCTGATAATATTCAAAATGTAATTTTGATCAACATATCCCTGTTAGAGTCCCCTGTCATCTAGGAGAAAACAAACCTACGGCAAACTTGGAACAGAAAAAATTCTTCGCCAGATTACAAAAATACCCCTGGCTGGACTCGATCCACTTCCCTGTGCATCTGAAGTTTCAATAGTTACTCTGTTCTGCCAGTTCTCAAGGGTGCGCTTAAAACTTTGATATACTTGTAACAAGGTTATATGAGCCAACTTTGAAAAGTGGGGATCAAAATTATACAGATAATGATAGAAAGATCTTCAAAATCGATTTAGTTTGATACAAAAATGTAGCTTTAACAATCAATTCCAATCAGTTCATAACACATTAAAAACAATTTTTTTCAAGTTTTTTTGGTTTCATTTTCATCCTGATTTGACCAACATTGAAATCGATTTAAATCGAGCGAAAATGATTTTTTCCCACTTTTCTATATAATAATTTTGTACAGATTCTTTAGAGATTATATTCAGATTCTCCGGTTTATCAAGAATAGAGAAATAGCTAAAAAATTGAAGGTAAAACGTAAGAAGGTAATAGGGTAAAAATTATAAAAATTTCATTCGATTTTGTGTTGATTTTTGGCCGAGTTTAATTAATATCTATATGTTTTGCAGCAAAAACTTTTTGTTATGAGTTTTTAAGTTAGATGTAATAAGCTTAACATAATTGCGCTTTGAAAGTTGATAAAGAAAATGAAGAGAAAACAAAACTCAAAGCGGATTCCCTTCATCACAATAGTTTGCGGTATAAAGCTCTGTTACATTGAATCTTGCTCTCTGGAACTCCGATGAAGGTAGTTCCTGGGTAAAAAAAATGCTCATTATTTTTCCGAAACAAAAAAAATAGTTTCATTAAATTAATTTTGATGAGACTTTTTAGGCAATAAAATTGATTTTCCCTGCCTTAAAACTTATTAAAACCATTCTAAATCAACATATCCCTGTTGATCAACATATCCCTGTTAGAGTCCCCTGTCATCTAGGAGAAAACAAACCTACGGCAAACTTGGAACAGAAAAAATTCTTCGCCAGATTACAAAAATACCCCTGGCTGGACTCGATCCACTTCCCTGTGCATCTGAAGTTTCAATAGTTACTCTGTTCTGCCAGTTCTCAAGGGTGCGCTTAAAACTTTGATATACTTGTAACAAGGTTATATGAGCCAACTTTGAAAAATGGGGATCAAAATTATACAGATAATGATAGAAAGATCTTCAAAATCGATTTAGTTTGATACAAAAATGTAGCTTTAACAATCAATTCCAATCAGTTCATAACACATTAAAAACAATTTTTTTCAAGTTTTTTTTGGTTTCATTTTCATCCTGATTTGACCAACATTGAAATCGATTTAAATCGAGCGAAAATGATTTTTTCCCACTTTTCTATATAATAATTTTGTACAGATTCTTTAGAGATTATATTCAGATTCTCCGGTTTATCAAGAATAGAGAAATAGCTAAAAAATTGAAGGTAAAACGTAAGAAGGTAATAGGGTAAAAATTATAAAAATTTCATTCGATTTTGTGTTGATTTTTGGCCGAGGTTAATTAATATCTATATGTTTTGCAGCAAAAACTTTTTGTTATGAGTTTTTAAGTTAGATGTAATAAGCTTAACATAATTGCGCTTTGAAAGTTGATAAAGAAAATGAAGAGAAAACAAAACTCAAAGCGGATTCCCTTCATCACAATAGTTTGCGGTATAAAGCTCTGTTACATTGAATCTTGCTCTCTGGAACTCCGATGAAGGTAGTTCCTGGGTAAAAAAAATGCTCATTATTTTTCCGAAACAAAAAAAATAGTTTCATTAAATTAATTTTGATGAGACTTTTTAGGCAATAAAATTGATTTTCCCTGCCTTAAAACTTATTAAAACCATTCTAAATCAATTTACTTAACAAAATGGGCTACAGTAAATAAATTTTCATGCATTTTTTTCTGTAGAAAAATCAATTTAAAACATTTTTATCTCAAGCTTAGTGCGGTAGGCCTGATTGAAGGAATGGGAACAATTTCCAAAACGGATCGTAGATGACTTCTCAGATTGTCTGACCCCTGCTCGCCTCTTTCTGGTTCATCTGGTTTGTCAGTCTAAAGTAAGTTGCAATTTTTTGTTCCCAAAATATAACCGAAGTTGATACTTGACCTGAGCCTTAAATAAAAGCTAATGTGCTTTGATACTGACCTCCTTCAATTCAATAAAAAGTAGGAGGCTACAGTCTTCTGAAGGTTGAAAACCTGATTTTATACATACTTATAAAATCTGATAATATTCAAAATGTAATTTTGATCAACATATCCCTGTTAGAGTCCCCTATCATCTAGGAAAAAACAAACGTACGGCAAAATTGGAACAGAAAAAATTCTTCGCCAGATTACAAAAATACCCCTGGCTGGACTCGATCCTCTTCCCTGTGCATCTGAAGTTTCATTAGTTACTCTGTTCAGCCATTTCTCAAGGGTGCGCTTATATTTGATATACTTGTAACAAGGTTATATGAGCCGCCTTTGAAAAGTGGGGATCAAAATTATACAGATAATGATAGAAAGATCTTCAAAATCGAATTAGTTTGATACAAAAATGTAGCTTCAACAATCAATTCCAATCAATTCATATTACATTAAAAACAATTTTTTTCAAGTTTTTTTTGGTTTTTTCATACTGATTTGACCAACATTGAAATTGGTTTAAATCGAGCGAAAATGATTTTTTCCCACTTTTCTATTTAATAACTTTGTACAGATTCTTTAGAGATTATATTCAGATTCTCCGGTTTATCAAAAATAAAGAAATAGCTAAAAAATTAAAGGTAAAACGTAATAAGGTAAAAGGGTAAAATTATAAAAATTTCATTCAATTTTGTGTTGATTTTTGGCCGAGTTTAATTAATAACTATATGTTTTGCAGCAAAAACTTTTTGTTATGAGTTTTTAAGTTAGATGTAATTTGCTTAACATAATTGCGCTTTGAAAGTTGATAAAGAAAATGAAGAGAAAACAAAACTCAAAGCGGAGTCCCTTCATCACAATAGTTTGCGGTATAAAGCTCTGTTACATTGAATCTTGCTCTCTGGAACTCCGATGAAGGTAGTTCCTGGGTAAAAAAAAATGCTCATTATTTTTCCGAAACAAAAAAAAAGTTTCATTAAATTAATTTTGATGAGACTTTTTAGGCAATAAAATTGATTTTCCCTGCTTTAAAACTTATTAAAACCATTCTAAATCAATTTACTTAACAAAATGGGCTACAGTAAATAAATTTTCATGCATTTTTTTCTGTAGAAAAATCAATTTAAAACATTTTTTATCTCAAGCTTAGTGCGGCAGGCCTGATTGAAGGAATGGGAACAATTTCCAAAACGGATCTTAGATGACTTCTCAGATTGTCTGACCCCTGCTCGCCTCTTTCTGGCTCATCTGGTTTGTCAGTCTAAAGTAAGTTGCAATTTTTTGTTCACAAAATATAACCGAAGTTGATACTTGACCTGAGCCTTAAATAAAAGCTAATGTGCTTTGATACTGACTTCCTTCAATTCAATAAAAAATAGGAGGCTACAGTCTTCTGAAGGTTGAAAACCTGATTTTATACATATTCATAAAATCTGATAATATTCAAAATGTAATTTTGATCAACATATCCCTGTTAGAGTCCCCTATCATCTAGGAAAAAACAAACCTACGGCAAAATTGGAACAGAAAAAACTCTTCGCCAGATTACAAAAATACCCCTGGCTGGACTCGATCCTCTTCCCTGTGCATCTGAAGTTTCATTAGTTACTCTGTTCTGCCAGTTCTCAAGGGTGCGCTTAACTTTGATATACTTGTAACAAGGTTATATGAGCCACCTTTGAAAAGTGGGGATCAAAATTATACAGATAATGATAGAAAATCTTCAAAATCGAATTAGTTTGATACAAAAATGTAGCTTTAACAATCAATTCCAATCAGTTCATTTTACATTAAAAACAATTTTTTTCAAGTTTTTTTGATTTTTTTCATACTGATTTGACCAACATTGAAATCGGTTTAAATCGAGCGTAAATGATTTTTTCCCACTTTTCTATTTAATAATTTTGTACAGATTCTTTAGAGATTATATTCAGATTCTCCGGTTTATCAAAAATAAAGAAATAGCTAAAAAATTAAAGGTAAAACGTAATAAGGTAAAAGGGTAAAATTATAAAAATTTCTTTCAATTTTGTGTTGATTTTTGGCCGAGTTTAATTAATAACTATATGTTTTGCAGCAAAAACTTTTTGTTATGAGTTTTTAAGTTAGATGTAATTTGCTTAACATAATTGCGCTTTGAAAGTTGATAAAGAAAATGAAGAGAAAACAAAACTCAAAGCGGATTCCCTTCATCAAAATAGTTTGCGGTATGAAGCTCTGTTACATTGAATCTTGCTCTCTGGAACTCCGATGAAGGTAGTTCCTGGGTAAAAAAAATGCTCATTATTTTTCCGAAACAAAAAAAAAGTTTCATTAAATTAATTTTGATGAGACTTTTTAGGCAATAAAATTGATTTTCCCTGCTTTAAAACTTATTAAAACCATTCTAAATCCATTTACTTAACAAAATGGGCTACAGTAAATAAATTTTCATGCATTTTTTTCTGTAAAAAAATCAATTTAAAACATTTTTTATCTCAAGCTTAGTGCGGCAGGCCTGATTGAAGGAATGGGAACAATTTCCAAAACGGATCTTAGATGACTTCTCAGATTGTCTGACCCCTGCTCGCCTCTTTCTGGCTCATCTGGTTTGTCAGTCTAAAGTAAGTTGCAATTTTTTGT